ATATATCCCAGCAGAAAGGAAAGTCTGAAGTGGTTTTCACAAAAATGTGATCGGAGCTCCTCTCCAAATGTTATGATTTCAGAGGACTTGTTTCTTCTATAGAACTTACTATTTTTTTCATATTGAAACATTTTTCAAATTTTTTTTGTTTGTAAATAAATTAACACTTTAAACTTTAGTATTTTCAGGCCTGAAAGAACACTGAAGGCCGGGCGCGGTGGCTCACGCCTGTAATCCCAGCACTTTGGGAGGTCGAGGCGGGTGGATCACGAAGTCAAGAGATCGAGACCATCCTGGTCAACATGGTGAAACCCCGTCTCTACTAAAAATACAAAAAATTAGCTGGGCATGGTGGCGTGTGCCTGTAATCCCAGCGACTCAGGAGGCTGAGGCAGGAGAATTGCATGAACCCAGGAGGCGGAGGTTGCGGTGAGCCGAATCGCGCCATTGCACTCCAGCCTGGGTAACAAGAGCGAAACTCCGTCTCAAAAAAAAAAAAAGAACACCGAAATACTTTTTCCCCCTTTTGCTTCCCCCCTGACCTAAAAAAAAAAAAAACCCTTCAGTTTTTTTTTTTTTCCTTCAAGACAGGGTTTCAGTCTGTCGTCTAGACTGGAGTGCAGTGGTGCAATCTCTGCTTACTGCAACCTCCACCTCCTGGGTCAAGCAAGTCTCATGCCTCAGTCTTCTCAGTAGTTGGGACCATAGTCACTCACCACCATGCCTGGCTAATTTTTGTATTTTTTATGTTGGCCAGGCTGGTCTTAAACTCCTGACCTCAGGTGATCTGCTTACCTCGGCCTCCCAAAGTATTAGGATTATAGGCGTGAGCCACTGCGCCTGGCCAACTTCACTTTCCATTTAATGATCTCTCTTTACCAAGAACTGTGCTAAGTGCCCTACCTTTCTTTTTTCATCATAACAACCTTATGACGCACTGCTATCCCATTTTACTGATGAGAAAACTTTGACTAGCTCAGGTGAACCTCCTAGCCGAAGGCTATGCAGCCCATAACCTGCTGTAGACCCCATGGCCTCAGTCCTGAAACCTTGCTCTCTGTCCTTCAAGGTTATAACCAAACTATTGATTGACTTGGTGGTGAAATGGGGAGAAAAACAGAAACCCTATAAAGCAGTAACTCCAGATTTAACATTATGGTTGAACACTTTGATTTGTTTCCCTTCAGTCTGTTTTCTACTTATTACATACCTACATTTGCAAAAAGAGTAAACTAGGCAGACGTAATGGCTCATGCCTGTAATGCCATCACTTTGGGAGGCTGAAGTGAGAGGTTAGCTTGAGCCCAGGAGATTGAGACTGCAGTAAGTCGTGATTGGGCCACTGTGCTCCAGCTTGGGCAGCAGCGTGAGACGCTGTCTCAAGAAAAAAGAATAAATTTAGTTCTTAAACCTATGGTAAACAGAATTTGAGGGTTCTTTTTTCTTTTTTTTTTGAAACAGAGTTTTGCTCTTGTTGCCCAGGCCGGAGTGCAGTGGCGCAATCTTGGTTCAGTGCAGCCTCCGCCTCTTGAGATTCTCCTGCCTCAGCCTTTCAAGGAGCTGAGACTGCAGGCATGTACCACCATGCCCGGTGAATTTTTTGTATTTAGTAGAGACGAGGTTTCACCATGTTGGTCAGCCTGGTCTTGAACCCCTGAACCTCAAGTGATCCATCCACCTTGGCCTCCCAAAGTGCTGGGATTAAAGGTGTGAGCCGCCACGCCTGGACTTGAGTTTTACAAACTTTGGTTACACCTAAAGATGAAAGTGAAATAAACAAGATGAGTCAGAAAATGGACAAAGGGAGCTCCTATAGGGAGGGGTGTATGTGCAGTGAAACCACAGATGTTAACATTTTAGCGTGTGTTCCAATAAATAAAAATAAGACACAGTCTCTTAAGTAATTCCCTTGTACACAACACATACCCATCTTTCTCGGTCTTTTTTTTTTTTTTTTTTTCCAAAAAAAATTTTTTTTTTTTTTTTTTTTTTTTTTTTAAGAAACAGGGTTACACCATGTCGCCCAGGCTGGTCTCGAACTCTTGAGCTCAGGCAATCTGCCTTCCTTGGCCTCCCAAAGAACTAGGATTACAGGCATAAGCCACCGTGCCCGGTCCCTTGGTCTTTTTATGTTGTGTAATTAGATGAATGTCATTGCGAACTGATCTTTGCTCACTGGTTTAGGTGTCTCTTTACAAGTGGAATTTCAGGGCTGGGCTTGGTGACTCCTGCCTGTAATAATCCCAGCACTTTGGGAGGTGGAGGCGGAGACCAGCCTGGCCAACATGGTGAAACCCTGTCTCTATTAAAAATACAAAAAAAAAAATTAGCCAGGTGTGGTGGCAGACACCTGTAATCCCAGCTACTTGTGAGGCTGAGGCAGGAGAATCCTTTGAACCTGGGTGGCGGAGGTTGCAGTGCGCCAAGATTGTGCCATTGCACTCCAGCCTAGGTGACAGAGCCAGATTCTGTCTCAAAAAAAAGAAAAAGAAAAAAGTGGAATTTCAGGAGCAAGATGATATATATAGAGAGAGGTAGAGGGAGACTGTATAAATTTGTATGTGTCGATTAAGTTCCCTCTTAGAAATCTGTATTTCACCTTTCCTGCACTGTATAAGAGTTGTCTAGGCCGGGCGCGGTGGCTCAAGCCTGTAATCCCAGCACTTTGGGAGGCCGAGGCGGGTGGATCACGAGGTCAAGAGATCGAGACCATACTGATCAACATGGTGAAACCCCGTCTCTACTAAAAAAAATACAAAAAATTAGCTGGGCATGGTGGCACGTGCCTGTAATCCCAGCTACTCGGGAGGCTGAGGCAGGAGAATTGCCTGAACCCAGGAGGCGGAGGTTGCGGTGAGCTGAGATTGCGCCATTGCACTCCAGCCTGGGTAACAAGAGCGAAACTCCGTCTCAAAAAAAAAAAAAAAAAAAAAAAAAGAGTTGTCTAGTGGCCCAAACTTACCTGTTAAAAGTTTACAGTTTGTTAAAATCTCTAACATATTTGGGAGTACAGAGATGTCAGAGTTTTCTCTTAATTTTGATTACAGTTTCCCTTGGCTTCATATGCTTTTGTCATTTCTCACTAGCTCAGTAATAATTGTGAAAAGTTATTTTGTATCTTACGTTGTGGATCTAAAGTCTGTGTTAATCTGTGGTATTAGTAAGAGAAGCTTTTGGAATCCAAAAAACTTCTTCATCTCTCTAGCTTAGTTAAGTTGTTTCTTTCTGAAACATCACTGGTTTGAAGTAGTAGAAACAGATTTTTTAAATTTTTAAATTTTTATTTTTAGAGATGGGGTTTTACCATGTTGGCCAGGTTGGTCTTGAACTCCTGACCTCAGGTGATCCACCCGCCTCGGCCTCCCAAAGTGCTGGGATTACAGGTGTGAGCCACCGCGCCTGGCCAGAAATAGATTTTAATGCTGCTTGCATGATGAAGAGCTGATCTCAAAGGAAATTTTAATATCAGTATGCCATCCATTCTACTTATTCCTCCTCCTCTTCATGAACTCTGCTTTTCTCCTATTTTACTCAAGAAAATAAGGAGGAGGGCCTCTAGTCGTATCTTTCATCACCCACTCTTCTTGTCTCTTCCCTCTTCTCCCACTTTTTCTGGTTGCATGTCTTGTGTCTTCTGCTTTCCCTCCTCCCTTTTGTCTGGCTAACATCTTTAATTTTAATTTAGAGTTGGGGTCTTGCCTTGTTGCCCAGGCTAGATTGCAGGGGCTCTATCATAGCTTACTGCAGTCTCAAATTCCTGGGCTCAAGTGATCCTCCCATCTCAACCTCCTCATTAGTGTATGCCACCTGGCTAATTTTTAAATTTTTTGTAGAGACAGGGTCTTGTCATCTTTCCCAGGCTGGTCTCAAATTTCTGTGCTCAAGCCATCTTCCCCGTCTCTGCTTCCCAAAGTGCTAGGATTACAGGCTTGAACCACTGGTGTGTGATGCTTGGCCTTCGCCGACATCTTTTAGTTCTAATTTTCAGCTTTAACTTTTTTTTTTTTTTTTTTTTTTGAGATGAAGTCTTGCTTGCTCTGTCGCCCAGGCTGGAGTGTAGTGGTGCGATCTCAGCTCACTGCAACCTCCGCCTCCTGAGTTCAAGTGATTCTTGTGCCTCAGCCTCCCAAGAAGCTGGGACTACAGGCTCCTGCTACCACACCTGGGGCTAATTCTTGTATTTTTTAGTAGAGACGGGGTTTCACCATGTTGACCAGGCTGGTCTCCAACTCCTGACCTCAGGTGATCTGCTTGCCTTGGCCTCCCAAAGTGCTAGGCTTATAGGTGTGAGGCACTGTGCCCACTGGCCAACAGTTTTAAAGAACTTTCTGAATAATATTGGCAGACACAGGGAAACGGGGTGGTTGGCAGAGATGTGTGGGTTGAGGTGGGTGGGACATGTGGACAGTGATGACCACACATATAAAACATGGGTTAGGTAGAAATTTGTTTTCATTATACTTTCTAAACGTTAACTATAGCTGTTATGCTGGTTCATAATTTTTCTTTGTTTACTCACCTTTTTGTGGCTTTTGACATTCACCTCCGTCTGGCTCAGTAAATGTTTCTTGACTGATTTTTTTTGAGATGAAGTTTTGCTCTGTTGCCCAGGCTAGAGTGCAGTGGTACAATCTTGGCTTACTACAACCTCCACCTCTTGGGTTCCAGCAATTCTCCTGTCTCATCTTCCTGAGTAGCTGGGATTACAGGTACATGCCACAATGCCCAGCTAATTTTTTTGTATTTTTAGTAGAGACGGGGTTTCACCATGTTGGCCAGGCTGGTCTTGAACTCCTGACCTCAAGTGATCCACCTGCCTTGATTTCCCAAAGTGCTGGGATTATAGGCCTGAGCCACTGCGCCTGGCTATTGACTGATTTTTATGAGTACAATCTCAAGTGAGACATTTTCTAAGTATCTTTATTATTATAAAACATTTCTTTTAAGAGGGTATTCTTGGCACTGTGTTAATTTTTATGAATGCTTTTATACCTATCCAGGACCCCTCGTCCAGTCATTGTGGAGCCCATGGAGCAGTTTGATGATGAAGATGGCTTGCCAGAGAAGCTGATGCAGAAAACTCAACAATACCATAAGTAAGATTTTATTATTAGATACTTTATATATGTACTATCAAGGGTGTTTAGTACATTTGTTTTTAAGTATTGTTGGATTATGAGGTGTTCCGTTTATTTATATAAATCTGGTTAGTAGAATGGCCTGGTCTACATGGAATGCTAGTTTTCTTTCCTTTTTTTTTTTTTTTTTTTTTTGGAGACAGTGTCTTATTCTGTTATCCGGGAGTGCAGTGGTGTGATCTTGGCTCCCTGCAGTCTCTACCTCCCGCGTTTGAGTGATTCTCGTGCCTCAGCCTCCTGAGTAGCTGGGATTACAGGCACACACCACCATGCCTAGCTAATAGTTTTCTTTCTTTATATGGGTAAAACATAGTAATTTTTTTTAGAAAAGTCTACTTTTATAGCTGGGGCAGGGTGGGTAGTAGGAAGAACCTGTCAATAATACTTAGGCCAGAAAAACAATGAATTCTAGGTAACATGAAAATACGTTTTTTTTTTTTGTTTTTTTTTTTTTGGAGATGGAGTCTTGCTCTCGTTACACAAGCTGGAGTGCAGTGGCATGATCTCACTGCAGCCTCCATCTCCTGAGTTCAAGGGTTTCTTCTTCCTCAGCCTCCCGAGTAGCTGGGATTACAGGCATATGCCACCATGCCTGGCTAATTTTTTGTTTTTTAGTAGTGGCAGGGTTTCGCCACATTGGCCAGGCTGGTCTTGAATTCCTGACCTCAGGTGATCCACCGGCCTCGGCCTCCCAAAGTGCTAGGATTACAGGTGTGAGCCACTGTGCCCAGCTGAAAATGCTTATTAAGTTTTATTTTATGCTTCAAGTCTATTGTAGGTTAAAAGGAGACTTTTGGTGTGCTGGGTTGGAGCAGGGTATGCCTAGTTAAATAGCCAGATACATGGGAAAAACTCTTAGAAATTGCAAAAAATAACTCATTTTCAAAGTTTTGAGTGTTTATTCTTTTGCCCTTTACACTTATAATAAAAGTATATTTACATAAATTACCTATATGAGTGCATTATTATTTTTTTCAGTTTATAAAACTTTATTAAACATTTCGAACAGCTATGCAACAAACAAACACACCACATAAAAGTTCTAGAATAGCAGTCCAAATGTTTCACAAGTATGGCCTCACAGTCTCATTCCCTAGATGGACTGCCTCTAGTTCTGTTCTCTGTCTGGGCCACCTCCCTTTCTCCTCCAGTTACTTTTGCAGAGTCTATTATGTTTTTAAAAACATAATGTATTCGGCCGGGCGCGGTGGCTCAAGCCTGTAATCCCAGCACTTTGAGACACCGAGGCAGGTAGATCATTTGAGGTCGGGAGTTTGAGACTAGGCTGGCCAACATAGTGAAACCCCATTTCTACTAAAAATATAAAAATTAGCTGGGCATGGTGGCACACGCCTGTAATCCCAGCTCCTTGGGAGGCTGAGGCAGGAGAATTGCGTGAACCTGGGAGGTGGAGGTTGCTGTGAGCTGAGATCGCGCCATTGCATTCCAGCCTGGGTGACAGAATGAGACTCCATCTCAAAAAAAAAAAAAAAAAAAAAAAGGTCACTTATTTATTTATATTTTTGAGACAGTCTCACTCTTGCAATCTCTGTTCACTGCAGCCTCCACCTCCTGGGTTCAAGGAATTCTTGTGCTTCACCCCCCCGAGGAGCTGGGATTACAGGTGTGCACCACCACGCCCAGCCAATTTTTGTAATTTTAGTAGAGACGGGATTTCACCCTGTTGGCCAGGCTGGTCTCGAACTCCTGACCTCAGGTGAACAACCTGGCTTTGCCTCCGAAAGTGCTGGGTTTACAGGTGTGGGCCACTGTACCCCACCCACTTGTTTATTACATAAATAAAACCTGGAGTGCCTTTTTGTTAGCCACTGTTCTAGGTGCTGGCAGTGTAGTCAAGCAAATAGTTGGATTTATACCTAGGAATTAGAGCAACTGTCCTGGCTGGATTTATTAACATGATATTTTAAAGTTCAAAGGACCAAACCCTGAATCCTGGAGTACTCTGGTGTGTCGAGGTTGGGAACATTGCAAGGAATCAAAAACGACTGAGAAGGGAGCATTCATTCATTGGAGTAGGAGGAAGAACCGTCTGACTGTGTTCTGGAAGCAAGGGAAGAGAGTATTTCAGGGAGGAAGCATTAGTAATAATTGATTATATTTCCTATCTATTCTGATTTCCCTTACAATGCCCTCCCCCCTCTCCTTCCTTCTCCCCCTTCCCCTTCTTCTTTCTTCTTTCTTTCTTTTTCGAGACAGGGTCTGGCTTTGTTGCCCAGACTACAGTGTAGTGGCATGATCATGGCTCACTGCAGTCTCTACCTCCTGGTCTCAAGTGATCCTTCCACCCCAGACCCCCTCCCCTGCCAAGTAGCTGGGACTATAGTTGTGGGCCACCACGTCTCGTTAATTTTTAAATTTTTTTAAAGGCAGGGTTTCATTATGTTGCTCAGGGTGGTCTCAAACTCCCAGGCTCAAGCGATCTGCCCGCCTTGGCCTCTCAAAGTTGAGTTTACAGGTGTGAGGCACTGGACCTGGCCACAGTGCCAGTTTTTAAAGGGTTCCTGTGACTTCCTCTTCACCTAACTTTTTACTTGTTATGGGTCACCATTACAAATTTGAAATAGAGCATACTTTTGGATTTGGGGGAGAGAGTACTAGAAGTACAACGTTGTTAAAAGAATAGACTTTATAGACAAGATTTCTTTATATATTTAATGGTCTCAGCAAACCTTAATAAGAGCTAGTTATGGCCAGACGCGGTGGCTCATGTCTGTAATCCCAGTACTTTGGGAGGCCGAGGCAGGTGGATCATGAGGTCAGGAGTTCAAGACCGTGGTGAAACCCCGTCTCTACTAAAAATACAAAAATTAGCCAGGTGTGGTGGCTCATGCCTGTAATCCCAGAGGTGGAGGATGTAGTGAGCTGAGATTGTGCCACTGCACCCCAGCCTGGGTGGCAGAGCAAGACTGTCGCAAAAAAAAAAAAAAAAAAGCTAGTTATAGTTTCAGTTTTACTACTAAAGATTTATAGGCCGGGTGTGGTGGCTCACACCTGTAATCCTAGCATTTTGGGAGGCTGAGACGAGTGGATCACCTGAGGTCAGGAGTTGAGACCAGCCTGGCCAGGATGGTGAAACCCTGTCTCTACTGAATACAAAATTAGCCAGGTGTGGTGGCACATGCCTGTAATCCCAGCTACTTGGGAGACTCAGGCGGGAGAATCGCTTGAACCTGAGAAGTGGAGGTTGCAGTGAGCCGAGATTGCGCCGTTTTTCTCCAGCAAGGACAAGAGCAGAATTCCTTCTCAAAAAAAAGGATTTATTTCCAGAAGAAAATGCTTACAAAGCAAAGCGTAAGAGCCAGGATTCAAATTCACTTGCAGCTACGAAAAAGCATGTTATGTCATTGTTGTTGTTGTTTTTTTTTCCTGTGGGAGAAAATAAAAAGAATTTAAAAATGTAGTCAATCTTTGACTTAGGAACTGCTGACTAGTAATTGTTTTAGAAAAATTAGTGGTTGGTAGATTCTCCCACTCTTTCCCGTTTTCCAGTTGGTGCTTTCAAAAGAAAAAAAATCCATGTAGGTTTTTTAGATATAGGGTCCCTAGAATCATGGCTGTCTTTGGTATTTCTTCAAGTGCTTCTGAAGATCTTTCCCTCTTCTGTTACCACATCTTTCTCTCTGTGAGTCTTCCCCTTTCTCCCAGATTTGTCATACCCACTCCTCCTCACCTCCATACCCCAAAATAAAAGTTAAAATTTACATTTGTAGCAAGTTATCTATGCTTTTATTCATGGAGTGGGATTGTGTTCTTATCAGTACTTTTTTTTTCTTTTTTGTTTGTTTTGACACAGAGTTTTGCTCTTGTTGCCCAAGCCGGAGTGCACTGGCACAATCTCGGCTTACTGTAACCTCCATCTCCTGGGTTCAAGCGATTCTCCTGCTTCAGCCTCCTGAGTAGCTGGGATTGCAGGTGTGCGCCACCACGCCCAGCTAATTGTTTGTATTTTTAGTAGAGACTGCGTTTCTCTGTGTTGGTCAGGCTGGTCTCGAACTCCCTACCTCAGGTGATTCACCTGTCTCGGCCTCCCAAAGTGCTGGGATTACAGGCATGAGCCACGGCACCCAGCCCCTATCAGAACTTTTTAATAGTGGCTGTTATAGGCAAGACTAATTGAAGATTTTTCTGCAAAAATTTCTTGGAAGTTGGCTGGACGTGATGGTTCTTACCTGTAATTCCAGCACTTTGGGAGACAGAAGGGTTGCCTGAGTCCAGGAGTTTAAGACCAGCCTGGGCAACATAGTGGTACCTCATCTCTACAAAAAATACAAAAATTAGCTGGTCATGGTGGCATGCCCCTTTAGTCCTAGCTACTCTGCAGCTTCAGGTGGGAGGATTGCTTGAGCCCGGGAGGTTGATTGGGCAGTGAGTCTTAATTGTGCCACTGTACTCCAGTGTGGGCAACTGAGCAAGACCCTGTCTCAAAAAATCCCGAAACAACAGCAACAACAACCAAAATTCTTTAAAGGGAAAAAAAATTGGGACCAGGTGTGGTGTCTTGCACCTGTAATTTTGGCACTTTTGGAGGCTGAGGAATGAGGAATACTTGAGGCCAGGAGTTTGAGATCAGTCATATTTTTTATATGTCTCTAAAACATATATTTACGTCTATATGTCTCGTATATAAATAAATGAAGTCTTTCAAATACATTCATAGGCCTTTATTTTTATTTGGTAATTTGTTTTCTCATTTATTTATTCAAGAATTATATATTTAATGTATATACTGCATTCTAGGTCCTTGAGGTACAGCAGTTAACAGATACATTTGATGTCATCAGTTGAGTTTATAGGCTACCGAAGGAAAGAGCTATTAAATAGTTAACTGTAATTGTAATGAGTTAGGCCTTGATTTGGTTGCCTATCCAATTAACTTGGCACATAACACTCAATAAAATCCAGCTGGTTTTAATAGTAAAAACATCTGATCCAGACAGTTAATCCGTATGTTGCAGACTTTCCTTTGTAAAATATTTAATTGACTGAAAACCAGAAAATGAAACCTCCAAAAGCAGAAATTTTACAGGTAATAATTAGGAGAGCCTGGGTTGTAGCATCAGATTGTCTAAGTTTGAATCGTTGTTCTATTATTAGTTGAACATCCTTGGGCAGTTTCTTATGCTCAGGCCTGTAATCACAATATTGTCACGAGGTAATTCATGTAGACATGGTGTCTCAAACAGTGCCTTGAACATTGTAAGTGCTTGTTACTGTTCTCATTTGTTCTTGTTTTACCTTTTAAACATAAATTTCTGTATGTTTTAATGTAAATTTAGGGAAAGAGAACAACCACCACGGTTTGCTCAACCAGGGACATTTGAATTTGAGTATGCATCTCGATGGAAGGCTCTTGATGAAATGGAAAAGCAGCAGCGTGAGCAGGTTGACAGAAACATCAGAGAAGCCAAAGAGAAACTGGAGGCAGAAATGGAAGCAGCTAGGCATGAACACCAATTAATGCTAATGAGGCAAGGTAAACATGGATTTTCATGTAGATGTGATGTGATTTTTTTTTTTCCTGTAAGTGTGTATACCACTTATGTACTACTGTGTAAAGTGCCATTTAGGAGTTTAGAGAAAAAGTTGGAACTCGACGTATTAGGTATGAAGATCTCAGAGAACTTAAGGAAAAAAAACTTATTAAAAGTTAGTTTTACTTATGCAAGTAGTATTGTTGGAGGTAATTTGAGGATATTGAACTGTGCCAGTAGCAAATACATGATTCTCTTGGCAAACAGAGAAACATGGTGGGTGACTTTTGGTAGATAGACATGGCACATGTGGTACTTTTTGTTTGATGAAAAGAAGAATTTGGACAAATGCTGGTTATTTAAGATTATTATTGCACATTTGAAAGAGTACAGATGGATAATCTGGTAGAGACAAAAGAGATTCATGTTTACAGATGGTTGTGGGGATTTAGGAAAAGTAAATTCTTAGTAATTGGCAAGGATACGTATATATACACACACACATATTTTTTTTGAGATGAAGTCTTGCTCTCTTCCCCAGGCTGGAGTGCAATGGTTTGATCTCAGCTCACTGCAACCTCTGCCTCCCGGAGTTTGTAGTGAAGGAGAATTGCAACCTTCATGCAATTCTCCTGCCTCAACCTCCCGAGTAGCTGGGATTACAGGCCCGGATAACTTTTATATTTTTAGTAGAAATGGGTTTTCACCATGTTGGCCAGGCTGGTGTCAAACTCCTGACTTGAGGCGACCCACTTGCCTCAGCCTCCCAAAATGCTGGGATTCCAGGGGTGAGCCACCGTGCCTGGCCAATTGGCAAGAATATTTAAGAGCAGTCAATAACAGGTGATAATTTATTCTTGTCCACTGGACAAATAACTAACAATATGACAAGCTGCTTAAATACATGTCAAAAGCTCACTTGTCCCTTTTCTCTTTATTACCCTTCTTTTTATGCCCATCTATGTTAATTATCTGTATCTCCTCTCCCTTTTTGTTTCTTCTTAAATTTTCTGTATAATTTTTCCTGGTTCTTCCTATCTCTCATCTTTTCCACTACCCATAATGAGTTTTATATTTCTTAAAATAAGCATCTGATTGCTTTCTATTTTGCTTTTAAGTATTTGTTTTGTTTTAACTTAGCATTTGAGTAAATGTTTATCTACCTTCACTTGGCTGTCCCCAGAGATCAAGGTACCACAGTTGCCTGCCTGAGTTTCTGCAGTAGTGTTCCTGATGAACTTTTCTGCCATCTAATCTTGGCTTTCTTTAAACTGTTCTGTATACTAGATTCAGTATTTTTTTTAGCAGGTGAAAATTTGATCATTCATTTCTAAATCCTTTTGGGTAAGTTCTCATTTCCTTAAAATGAAGCGTAGGGTTTTTTTTTGGTGTGTGTGTTCTAGTATTTTGTACATCACTATTCAGTAAATGTTTATTGAGCAGTTATGATCAAGTCATTGAATAACTGTGCCGATGCCACATATATTTTTTCTTTTTTTTTTTGAGACGGAGTTTCACTCTTGTTACCCAGGCTGGAGTGCAATCGTGCAATCTTGGCTCACCGCAACCTCCGCCTCCTGGGTTCAGGCAATTCTCCTGCCTCAGCCTCCTGAGTAGCTGGGATTACAGGCATGCGCCACCATGCCCAGCTGATTTTTTGTATTTTTAGTAGAGACAGGGTTTCACCATGTTGACCAGGATGGTCTCGATCTCTTGACCTCGTGATCCACCCGCCTCGGCCTCCCAAAGTACTGGGATTACAGGTGTGAGCCACCGCGCCCGGCCGATGCCACATATCTTAAAACAAAATCAAGCTCAGCAAACAATAGAAACTAGTCAGGTGTTTTGGTTTAATTTGTACCCTAAACCTGGCGGTTCTGTAATTCAGAACTGCCTAAACCTGGCAATTCAGTTTTCTTCTAACAAAATTGAATTCATTTATATATTATAGTAGGTTTAAAGATAAAATGTCTTCTATTTTGCAGAAAATTTGAAAGTGTTGTTTCAGTTAAAGATACTGAATCATTCACTGGCTGCTAGAGCTGGAAGAGAGGTTTTGTTTTGTTTTTGAGACAGAATCTCACTCTTTTGCCCAGCCTGGAGTGCCATGGTGTAGTCTCGGCTCAGTGCAACCTCTGCCTCCCGTGTTCAAGCAGTTCTTGTGCCTGAGCCTCCCTGGTAACTGGGACTACAGGTGCGTGCCACCATGCCTGGGTAATTTTTTTTTTTTTTTTAGATGGAAGTTTGCTCTTGTTGCCCAGGCTGGAGTGCATTGGTGTGATCTTGGCTCACTGTAACCTCCACCTTGGGTTCAAGCGATCCTCCTGCCTCAGCATCCTAAGTGACTGGGATTACAAGTGTGTGCTACCACACTTGACTAATTTTTTGTATTTTTAGTAGAGATGTGGTTTCACTATGTTGGCCAGGCTGATCTCAAACTCCTGACCTCAGGTGATCTACCTGCCTCGGCCTCCCAAAGTGCTGGCATTATAGGCATGAGCCACTGTGCTTGTAATATTTTTGTATTTTTAGTAGAGTCAGAATTTCTGCATGTTGGCGAAACTGGCTTTGGACTCATAGCCTCAAGTGATATGCCCACCTTGGCCTCCCAAAGTGCTGAGATTACAGATGTGAGCCACCATGTCCGGCTGAGAGATCTTTTTTTTTTTTTGAGACAGAGTTTCACCCTTGCTACCCAGGCTGGAGTGCAATGGCGCGATCTTGGCTCACTGCAACCTCCGCCTCCTGGGTTCAGGCAGTTCTCCTGCCTCAACCTCCTGAGTAGCTAGGCTTACAGGCACGCGCCACCATGCCCAGCTAATGTTTTTTTTTGTATTTTTAGTAGAGACAGGGTTTCACCATGTTGACCAGGATAGTCTCGATCTCTTGACCTCGTGATCCACCCGCCTCGGCCTCCCAAAGTGCTGGGATTACAGGCGTGAGCCACCGCGCCCGGCCTCGGCCAAGAGATCTTAAAGTTTGTCCTGGTGGTTTTGAAATTTTACACATTAGAATCATCTTGGAAATTTAAAAAATTTAGTTTCCTGGGCCCTGTGGTTGCTCTAGCCCTTCTGTTCAATATGAATTATTTTCTCTTAACCTGCTAGGAACTTCTTTGCCATTTCGTTTCCCGCCTGTCTACTGTTGTGCTTAGTTAGGAAATAATGTTGATTAGAGGTGGAAGCATCTGTACTAAAGATTTGTCTTGATGCTACAGACAAACAGTGGTATAACATTCATTAATTTAGCACATATTTAATGTTAGTTATAGGAGACACTTCTGAGGTACTGAGGATATATTGATGGCAAAAAACATTTCCTAGGCCGGGCGTGGTGGCTCAAGCCTGTAATCCCAGCACTTTGGGAGGCCGAGGCGGGTGGATCACGAGGTCAAGAGATCGAGACCATCCTGGTCAACATGGTGAAACCCCGTCTCTACTAAAAATACAAAAAGTTAGCTGGGCATGGTGGCGCGTGCCTGTAATCCCAGCTACTCAGGAGGCTGAGGCAGGAGAATTGCCTGAGCCCAGGAGGCGGAGGTTGTGGTGAGCCGAGATCGCGCCATTGCACTCCAGCCTGGGTAACATGAGTGAAACTCCGTCTCAAAAAAACAAACAAACAAACAAAAAAAACCATTTCCTTAGACTTCAGTTTTTTCTTGAGCTTTTATAAAACTTTACCTGAAGGTATTTTGACATTTGAAGTAGAGTAATTTTGCATAGCTATTTTTCTCATGAGTTTAAGTTTTGTGTGTGTTCATTTAAAGTCTCTTTTAATATCTTGGTTTATATTATTAGAAAATCACATTGCCTATTGCATCCTACTCCCTGCTTCTGGTTCACTTGTGCTAAAGTACTTATTTCATCAAAAGTCTGAAGTTGGTAAATTTCACTTTTACTTTGTTTAAAAATTTACAAAGTTGCTGGATGCAGTGGTTCACGCCTGTAATCCCAGTACTTTGGGAGGCTGAGGCAAGCGGATCACCTGAGGTTGGGAGTTTGAGACCAGCCTGACCAACTTGGAGAAACCCTGTCTCTATAAAAAATAAAAAATTAGCTGAGCATGGTGGCGCATGCCTGTAATCCCAGCAACTTGGGAAGCTGAGGCAGGAGAATTGCTTGAACCTGGGAGGCAGAGGTTGCGGTGAGCCAAGATCTTGCCATTGTCCTTTAGCCTGGGCAACGAGTGAAACTTGGTCTCAAAAAAAAAAAAAAATGTAAAAAGTTACAACTTCCTCCCATTTGTTCTACAGTTTTATATTTCTTTCTTTTTTTTTCTTCTTTTTTGAGACAGATTCTTGCTCTGTTGTCCAAGCTGGAGTACTGGAATGCAGTGGCACAATCTCAGTTCATTGCATCCTTCACCTTCTGGGTTCAAGTGATTCTCCTGCTTCAGCCTCCCAAGTAGCTGGGATTACAGGTGTGCGTCACTATGCCCGGCTAATTTTGCATTTTTAGTAGCGATGGGGTTTCACCGTATTGCTCAGGCTAGACTTGAACTGCATACCTCAGGTGATCACCCGCCTCGGCCTCCCAGAGTGCCGTGATTACAAGCATGAGCCACCACACCCAGCCTACAGTTTTAGATTTAATCCAGTGTTTCTAAGTATGCATTTAGGTTGAGGAGAGACTTTAAGTAATCTTAGTTGTATGGTTCTGCAGAAACAGGTATTATGACATATCATGGAAGGAGAAACCTCAAACAGTACAGAAAAAGTGTCCCCCATTTCCTACCTTCTGCTTTTTTGTAGGGTCACTCTTCTGTATTTTAATTCTCGTTTGTATCCTTCAATGAAAATAAAAAAACTTGCATGTGTCATTAGATGTTTGTGTGTATTTGTAAGCAAAAAAACAAAAATCATAACAAAACAAACTGGCTGGGTGCAGCATGCCTGTAATTCTAGCACTTTGGGAAGCTGAGGTGGAAGTTTGCTTCAGTCCAGCAGTTCAGGACTACTAACGTCAGCAACATAGTGAAAACCCCATCTCTACCAAAAGTACAA